TATGTATTATGTTGTGTTTTCAGAGTCAGTGAGGGAAACTTCTCTGAAACGGCTGAAGCCATCGACTGGAACTATTCACACGACATGTTTGGATACATTGAATGTAATGATCGAAGGAATAAGAATTTTGAAAATGATTTAGATTTTTTATTCGATTTTTTTTTTACTTAACTGAAAGCAGAAAAACTTCCTCAACGTCAGATACCTTTTTTCGGAGGTATTTCATTTTTCAAAATGAATTATCGATTATTAAAGTATACTAAATTCTGTTCCTGTATATTTTTCTTGGTTATTTATTAAATTAAATGTCTTGAAAAAAAAAAATAAACAAAAAATATTTTTATCGACTTGCAAGTACATATAACCTCTTCAGAAAACTAAAAAGATATTTCGGTATTTTACCGAATTCACTTCTACTATATACTTACACTAAGCTAAATTTTACAAATCTATATTAAATTAGTGTAATAATAAAACGTGGGGAGAATTCGTAGGATAAGTCAAAAATAAATCCGAACTTTTCTGAGTTTCATAAACTTAATCAAATTAAAATTTCTAAACTATTTTTTTTAAATTAAAAAAGTGCAGAAAATAGATACTTGTCGATAAAACTTCATGCATTTTCGAATTTTTTTTTATTATATTTATAATTATATATGTATAATAGTGAAAGTGAAGTAAATCCTACTGATATTGTGTATACTTAATTTTTATATATGATATAAAATATCGTAAATATAGAGCTTACATGAGTTTGCTAAAACATGAACCTAAAAGCTACACTACATACCAAATATTCAAGCATGTGCAAATCGCTGACAGCGGGGTGTAATTCTTCAAATTCATTGTACGAAATATTCAAGTAACGCAGCTCAGGTAACGAGTAGAAATCAACAGGCAACTCTCTCAACTTGTTGCGACTCAGATTCACACGCACTAATTTCTCTAATCTGCATATGGATCTAGGAAGGCTGGTTAGTAAATTGTCGTGCAGCTGCATGGAGGAAATAACGCAATAAAACAATTACCAACAAACTATAAATCACACAAAATTAAAACTGTATAACTAAATTGTTGGTATTCGATTTGCACAGTCTCACATAAAATGCTTGATAGGCATGAGCATAGGCTAAACTCACCGTTAATGTGGTCAATGTCTCGAGATTCTCAATTTTTGGCGATAGATGTGTCAAAGCGTTCGAACTTAAATCCAAATTTGTTAAAGGCATTTGATTCCACCAAGCCTCTTCCTCCCGGACTGTGAGCTGTTCCAATGAAGTTGGTAAATCCTTGTCAGTCTGATTTATTTGGTAAACTTTGTCGGGCACTGGAAAATTGCATCTTTCATTAGATAAAATATAATTTTTTTCAGGATCTTGGTGCATTTTATCAATAAATTATAATTAAATACTTGTGCAYTGTCGTCTAACACGGCTCAAATATTTTGCAAGTTTTAAAGGATTATTTACATTCGATTGCTAGTGGTTCACGTTGGCTTTTCGGCTCGATTTCATCCTCGGTCTCCTGCTCGCTGGTGGAGGAGGCCATTTGATATTCCCGTATGTGATAGAATAAGCGTCTATGCGCCGGACCACACATGCAGAAGGATGTGAGCTTTTTGCGTGTTTGCTTTAAGGACGCAATTTTGAATGTTTTTCTTTAACCAAAAATTAGCGCGGAAAATAGTTTGTATTTTTTTTTTAATACTACAAATCTGGGATGCTTATATAAAGAAGCAACCATTAACGCTGAACGACAGTACCCAACTACGTGGATGCATTTTTACTTTTGCATTAATGTTAAATGTATGGCATAAAATTCAATTTCAGTTGCACTGTGTTGAACGAAGCGCTCGTGATGGTTAACCGAGCATGAAATTTGGTTTAGCCATAATTGGGTTAGCTAAATTACGTTGCAGATTTAGGTGATGTAATACGATACTTGACAACATTTAAATAATCGTAATAATGGGAAGAAAATAAAAGCTATGTTGCATAATATTAGAGGAGCAGGAGAGTGGAGCGAATCAGCAAAATTGTTAAATGCATTCAAACACTATTAAAAATGTATGTTTATATACATATGTGCATTTGCAGTTATGTGTAACAAATAAAAAAATTACAGTTTCACTGTCAAGTTCAATTAGGGGAAATGCGTTAATAAATAATTTTATAAACACACATACACAAATGCTCTTCAKTGCCCGTTTTGGTTAGTTACTAACATTAGCGAGCCAGACAGAACGTTTAACAGTTGGCATAGAAAGCTACGAACACAATTCCGTAACGGTTAGTTAAGCGATTGTGAACAGGTATATGCACATGACAACATAATCAAAGGTCATTCGTTCGGTTGAGGCAGGAAATATGCATTTGACGGTTTTGGATGTGTTGGGTGTGGTTTCGGTGTGTCTCCGAATACTCTAGGTGATAAATGTGGAGCGGAAAATAAAGACAGCGTAAACAATTAAAGGTAATATTTAAAATATTAGAACATTGTAAATATTAATTCTGATTGAGGTAGGTTAATTATTATATTAATATTTCTGAAACATACATTAAGAGATTTCTATAACACAAAGGTATGAATTTAGAATTATTTGAGGAATATTTTGAAAGTTAAACTTCAAGATTTCAAAATTTAAGAATGTTTATATTCGATCTATTGTACTTTCTGATTTTATTTTAAGTGTGTTTTGCTTTGGATTATTATTTGAGACACCGACATCACTTTATGCTTTGCAAAATACACCTGTGAAACGTATTATAGTTTTAATGTAACCGGAATTAGCGCTTTGTTTTCAAAACTATAGTACTTTTACAATGTTCTCTTCTTATATGTGTATTATTTTTAACATTTTAACACTTACTTTTCACGGAAGCTTGTGAACTAAAGTGGTGTTGTAAATTAAGTTGGTTTAAATATGTCTTAAATCAGTTATTCACTATTTTCACACTATAAAATTCGTTACTTTGTTTTAATATTGTTTTAAGTATAATAATTTAATTGATCACTAAATAATATTACGGCAGTTCCTTTAACTACAAATATGAGGAAACACGCGCAACATACAGCTGGAGAAAATTATGCCACCACTTAAGTGATTCCTGCATGAATATAGAAATAACTAGCGACTAACGAGGAAAATTCATTCAATTATGCATTTGAAAAGTCGTGACGCATACAGAAATTTATTTAAGGATGAGTTATTGATTTTCAAGCTTGGTCAAAGTGTTACACGGCACTACGAAGAAATGGTGTTGTTTGTGTCCAATGTTATGCTACTAACCTGACGTTAAGCCTCTGCCGCTCAACTGTAAAGCGCCTGTCTTGCGTGCCTGTTTAATTAGATGTGGTGGAAATGCTTTGTCATCTTCAGTTTTATTTCTTTTATGGAATAATGGATTCAATTCACCAAGCCTTGACCGCACACGACAAGTGCGAGATGCAGAATTATTTATAGAGTGCACAGAGTTGGTCGTGGATGTGGTAGCATCGATGCCGCCTTCGCCACCACTAGCTCTATTGTTGTTCATTGTGTCAAAATATGGCGAAGAACTATAACAGCTGCTCGTAGCTGCAGCATCAATATTTGTGTCCAATGAGCGCCAGGACGTCGTGGGGAATTGTAAGAAATTATTGTAATTCAAATTATTACTGCCAGATAGATCGTTGGAGCCGTTATCTATATTTTTGTAAGCATTAAATAGTAGATTATAAAAACTTTTTTATCGTAGCGCAAGTTACTTTGATGATGTGGACAGCTTCCAGTGTTCAGGTTTCCGAAATTAAAATAGTTTTCTTGGCTGAGACAGCGATAATATGACGGATAATTGCGGCAGCTGTCGAACGGTTATATTAAAAAAAAACTATATGAATTGTAATAACACAAATTATTGCAACAATAAATACAATAACATAACATAAATTTAAAACGGAGTTTAATTCAATGTATCGGAATCGCCCGTGCGAGCACATGCAATATCTCCCACAACGTTGTTATAATTTACACAGCTCCACTGCGACTACTTCGATTTGTTATTATTTGTTTTGTATTGATTTTTGTTTGTTGTGCCCTTTTGCTTTTGTTTTTTGTTTATTGTTTTATAGTCGATTTATCACAATTTTACACATCCAAATTGGACTTTTTCGTTTTGTTTTTATTTTTTAATTTGAATGGCAAAAGTTCACAGCTGACGTTGCAGCTGACAGCAGAGAACGTACATAATTCTAGATCGTAAATTTTACGGTCTTCGGTATTCGTTTACAATAAGCAAAGAACGTTTGTAATTGAAAAAGCGTGCAAATTGTCAAACGATAACAAATAAGAATTTCATCTCATTTAGGGGAAAATGGTGAAAATGTTGAGTGGTAAGTTTGCCCACTTTTAAAAGATAAGTAAAGAACTTGTATTCGTATTTATAAGCGCGTAAGTTTGGGTTTATAAATTGTTTGAGAAGATATGTGTTTTGTTGTCATTGGAATTATTAATGCGCAAGATTTTTCAATATTTTTTTGGGATTTGAATATACTTGTATAGACAATTTTGTGACAATTTCAAAGCGAACATTTATTTTTTGTTACCTTCAGGTATTGCAATATCTATGACCTCATCCTTTAGCCTCATTATCATTCTCCCATTTCTCCCAAAGTACTTAATAGGATATTGTTTCTTTTTAAATCGCAAATTTAATTGTTTTGGCTTATGAAAACTATTTGATATACAAATTACTATATTTAATATTTGTATACTTATAAACAATATTTTTTCTCCTCGTCTTTATTTTTAGTAAATTATTCATCAACGTAAGTTGCACGTGCAACCAATATGCAAAACCTTGCATACGAATGCACATACATACATACTATTTACATCTGACATTCACGTGGCACATGCTGCACGTGTGACATTGCATTCGGCCATACTTTGAGTTGTTAGACAATATGTTAACTCATATCTTTCCATTCATAATAATAAAAGCAAACTATTTTTATAGCCACTAGCAGAAATTTATTAGACTGGTCCGTGTGAACAAAACATCATAACTGTTTAGATTGCCGACTTATTATAAATAGTCAGGGGAAATAAAGTCGCATGAGTTTGTATTAACAAATGCAAAATCTCAGTTTTATTTTCATAATTGGGTTTTTTCTTATATTGTATGGTTTAGTTGAAWGTAATTTAAAATTTAGAAATTTTTTTAACATCCCTAATATTTGTATTATTATCAATTTATTGCGGGATTTAACGCTGATCTGTCACAAATTGTGATCAATTCAAATCAATTGAAGCGCTTTTGCTCCACATAAATCATATGTGCAATATCCATGTGTACATATACACAATGTTCGCAAGTATGCATATGTATATACATATGTAACTAGGGTATGTATACGTATACGCAATATGTAGTCACACGAGTTATTGACCTAGTCTGTTGGGTTCGGCATGCTCACATGTGCATATTGTTGTTGTTGTTTGTGTAGTTCAATTCGTTTATTCGATAATGAACTTAAAAGCAATGAATTAAGCATGAGTAAATTGTAACAACAAAACCACCAACATACATATGTTTGCGTACATTTAACGTACATTGCGGTGCGCTAAGGCGTATGAGTAACTATTTATACTCCAATAAAGTGGAGTTATCAAAGAAAATGCAGCAATTTAATTATTTRAAATAAAATATAGTTTACTTTTCTACTTACGTCATTTTTTTGTTGGTTGACGGAAGTTGATTGCACTTCTTAGCGTTGGATAACTTGACACACAGTTTATTGAGAGAGCCACAGTTGTTGCGGCAGGTGTAAAAGGTAAGTTGCTAGGAAAACATTATTCAAAATGACAAGCAGTTAGAATTTTTTACATTTTCAACACATAGAGCCTTAAACTACGAGTATATGCTTGTGTATCTATGTTTGTCTTATACATATATGTATGTACATCAGTATATATGTAAAATATAAAATTACAATCACAGCAAAGACTGCGCTCACTTACGACATTTTACGACTTAAGAACTTTAGAATAGTGTCAAGGTCATGTGGGTAAGACACTACCTATGCTGTTACACTGGTCGTCTACTAATTGCAGGTGTAGAGTTTCTTTACTTTGCAATATTTACGCTTTGTAAATGCGACACAAGAGTACATAAGTTGAAAATTGTTAGTAGGCCTTGATTTCTTCGAAAACATTTCGCGAATTTTGGATAGCTTATAATAGTAGCTTTTTAAGTCAAAAAAATTTATTTTTGTTTCGGTATGCTAATATCAATAGAAAAATTACTTGCTTGTTATAATATATATTTAAATTAATATTTTAATTTAACCTAAAAATATGTTCAGGAAAACTCTACTTTATCGAATAGTTGACTGGTAGGAGTGATTAAAAAGCTTTATAATGATTTTTTTATTAGATTTTTAAGAACAGTGTGCCGCCATTCTCTTTGTAAGATCACTCAGTATATTTTTTGTGGAAAGTAATTAACTATTTTTCGATTTACAAAGGCTAATAGAAGGTTTTCTACTGCTGCAGTGATATTGATATCATTGGCTCAACACCTGCGCCGTTAACTCTGCTTTCTTCAGACAGGATAAGGAAGCGAAGCAAGACGAAATATCTTCTGTCATCAAACAAACAGTGGTCTCACTTGAGACTTGGCTCCCACGTCACTCTTGACAGTCATAACTTCGAAGTCCTAGATAATTTCGTCTCTCTTTGAACCAGTATTAACACCAACAACTTACGGACTGAGTATTCAATTGAGAAGTAAAGCCATCTTTCGATGAAGAAAGACTAAACTTTATGAGTCACTCATTATTCTCGTTCTGCATAATGTGCAAAGGTATGGRCGATGACAACATCTGATGTAGACGACGATAAAAGTTCTGCGAAAGATTTATGGTCTTTTGCGCGTTGACCACGGCGAATATCGCATTCGATGGAACGATGAGCTGTACGAGATATACGAACCCACATTGACAGAGTTCAGCGAATTAACAATAAATCATTCAAAAAAATATAATTTATTTCTAAAAAAAAATCATCACCATTTCTAATATTTTCAGACTGTCGTATGTTTAATCGCTTTAAGCCTCATAAATACATTGAAATGTACATACCATACCGCTGTAATTACTTGCAAACAAACCCTTTAAACTGCTTTCGAAATCTTTTCTTTCATACTAAAAAGTGCGAACCCAGATTCATATACTAAGCATGTAAGTGTTAAAATAATAAACATGTAAATATATATAATAATAGTGCATATGTATGTGTAGACATTTTTTTCTATATACAAATTTTAATTCTTGGATTCAAGCTACTTTCGAAATCATTAAAAACCTTAATGGCAACCAATTTTATAAGAGCTTTTGAGCACTATTAAAATATTAGCGGTAAATTTTRCTTGAACTTGCCTCGTAACACAAAGAAAGAAATTACAGCAACACAAACAACCTTGGGCGGATGGCAAAAGCCACACAATCAAGCAAAGTGCGCCTTTTGTCACAATTTACTTCCATAATTTTAGCAAGTAATCACGGTCAATGTTCTTCCTGCTTTGATTGACACAAATTGCCGCCACTATTATGGYTGATTAAGAGCTTAGGTGCGAAATTTCGGAAATAACACGGGCACTAGACCGTTTGCAAGATTCATAAATTACAAAATAAATAGCGAACGTTGGAATAATATTACTATGTTTGTGTGTGTGTGTGCGTGCGTCTATGTGGCGGTTGAGGGCTGTCAGGGGTKCGTTGTGGTTGTGTTTGCGGTCGCAGCTGTGCCTTTTTGTTTATGCCGCACAGCAAATGCTGCCGCCATACAAACSCTACCGCTACTCTCATACATACACCTTTATAGAAATTTGTATTTATGTATGTATGAATTTATGAATGCATGTATGATTGTATGTGTTTATGTATGCATATTACCGTTGCGCACTACTTAAGGTATTATTTGCGCACATATGCGCCTACAATTCTACGCCTGCCGCTGACCGGCTTCTCTGCAGCTAAGTACTGCCGATACTTTGTGTCTGTTATTTATGACCATTCGAGTCGGAAAGCAGTTACAATTCTATTAGTTGTCGCTTTTATTTCGAGCGTAACGCTTCGTCTAGGAATTGACTTGCAGCAAGCAACGCTTTCCGTCATTTATAATTCATAATTACCTTGAGGCGGACTTGTTTTTGTTTGCGGGTCGCGTTAGCTGTGCTATTGACGTCCTTTCTGTGCTGTTGTTGTTGCTGCTGCTGCTGTTCCTGTATACTTTACGTCAATCAATAGAAGAAGAAGCACGATTATGGCCGAAGGCGTTATAAAGTCCTTTATACGCGACTTTTTTGCGGTTCGTTACAGTTTTGGTTTAGTTTTGAACTTTTATTGCCAAATTGCGCAATATTTTATGAATTTCGTAAATTTTGATAGAAAAATTTTGCATTCAATTTAGAAGCCGCGAGACCGAAAATTTTCTTATGAAATGAATTGCGTCGAAAATTTTGTTTTCTAAACAAAAAAAAAAAAAAACAATGTCGTTTGTTCTGAGTTCCTGTGGATCGTGTTGAAAATAAATTTATTTATTTTGGTGAAATTGAAAGTGAATCATTTGTTCATTTGTAGAAAGTGATTGTTCATTTAAATGAATCATTCATGCAAGTTAAAATGATTATTATAATTTTCATTTCAAAAGTATGGAAAACTCCAGTGATTCTTACAAAAGTTTTTGAAATATGTTTTTTGATCAAGCTCTAGTCCTTAGTGTGAACCCTACCTTTTAAAGAACACTGTTTGCCATAATAGATAAATTACCGCACCCTAAACGGCAACAGAATCTACACATGTATATACATATGGAAATTATCGCGTATAATAACTGTGGACATTTTTATGGCTTCACTTCAATATTTGCAGAAAAAACGATGTTACGATGGAATTATAAGGAAATATATAGGAATTATAATGTATAGATCTTGTTAGTAGTAACTTGTAGTCGATATATATTTTTTTTCTGCAGAAATATATTGCGACAAAAAAGTACTCGGAAATAGAAAATAAAACGCAAAATATTTTATTATTAATATATATTTATTTTGTTGCCTTCAAAGTAGTCCTTATCAGATATAATACACTTATGCGATTCTAGTACTCAACACACTTTTCATAGGCACTTGTTTGGATGGGCTTCAGCTCCTTCAACGAATTTTGTTTTATCTCTACGAGAGACTGAAAACGGGTTTCACAGAGTGATAATTTCAGTTTAGGGAATAAGAAAACATCATACGCAGCCAACGCAAACGTCTCAATATGGCCAATTGGAACTTTTTATTGACCGTCTGTCCCACCGGAATAAATTTATGGTGCACCAAACCACGAATATTGAAAAAAAAAAAAAAAAAAAAAAAAAAAAAAAAAAAAAAAAAAAAAAAAAAAAAAAAAAAAAAAAAAAAAACAATCACCTTGACTTTGGAGCGGCTTTGGCGTGTTTTTTTTGTTTCTATTCGTTTTTCCCCTTTTCATTCCTATGATTGTTGACTTGTTTTGTATGCCAAACTCATAAATCCGTATCTCATCGGCAGTTATAACTTCAACTCCAATGCTCTCCAAGAATGTGGGAATGGAATTCGCACGATCAAGCAAGTATAAAGGGCCCGTTCCGCTTTATCGGGATGAATCGAGCAAGAACGCGTTTCATACCCAAACTATCCGCCAAAGTGATTCGAACGGTTTCGCGAGAGATGTTCAGCTCTCTTGCCATCCTATAAAACTTGCCTGATTGCCCKTAAATTTCGAATATTTGCAACAATTGATGAGATCGAAGGTCGTGCAGAACGAGGCGTGTCTTCAACCAACTTACCAAAGTATATTTTTTTCAAATATCATTTCCCCGTCGAGTTTAATTACAATTTCCTGGTGTTTTTTTCACAATGCATATATTTTTGGGCTCCTCAGTCTAGACTGATCAGCTACTTAAAACTTTGATCTTGTTTTACTCGAAGGATCGTTTTCTAAGTCAGTGGTCGCTATTTTCGCTATTTCTCAGAAACTAGGCGATCTCAAAGAAACTTTTCACATTTCTTCTAAATAGGATAACCTCGTAATTGATGAAATATTTTTTTTTTTTTAAATTACAACTAATTTTTTCAAAGCCACACGTTGTAAAAATTAAACCTAAAATCATTATATTTCTATTTGCGAAGTTGCCAAAAATTAATTTTTATCCATCGACAACCATCATTTTTTTTTAACTTATCTTCTAACCAATGAAAAACAGAAAAAAATCACAAAATATTATTCAAATGTTGCCCATTGTTGTGCTCAAAAGACGTATTAAATTAATTCATATTGTATACAAAAAAAAAAAAAAATTGGTAAAAATAGGCATTTTTCTTTCGTCAAAGCCCATGGAACCCCTTAAATCGTTCTGGTTACATCAGTTATACTGCTTTTTGATAGCAGCACTGTTTGCAGTTATTTGCTGATAAAGAAAGACATATTATAATCTCAGCTTAATATTATGGCGATAAAGAGTCTAAGCCATATGGCTTACATACTAAACTTCGTTCTTTTTCATCTTAGATTTATTTCTATATCACTAAATAATATTAAATCATATATTGCAGTTAGCTTGCTTTTATTTCTGGTATTTTTTCTTTTTAGAGATCAAACATTTTATTTATTCAAATGAAATTGTGTTAAATGAGAAATAGGCGTGGTTGTATTAACTTTTACACTGTAACATAGGAATGTCAAAGAAAAAAATCAATTTAATCATTTTAATGAGTAATAAATAGTAAATGGTGCTGAAGCACACAAAAATGTTACTCATACGCCGTGCTCTTTGCAGTAGGTCAAGAGATGTTGGCTTGCTTTGGAACCTACGTTTCATTTTTGATCCTAAATTGACTGTACAACATATTATTATATAATTAAGTATTACAAAAATATATTTGTTAGTTTTCTACAGCTCAGTATGGTTTACTGTTTGAGCGAAATGTTTAGTCTGGCGATGCCTTCACTCGACTCATGCACGGTTTCACAGTCAATGCTAAATTTCTTTAAAATTTCATTATGATATATGACAACGTTTTGGGCAACATATGTTTTACAAATGTCATCCATAAAAATATGTTTGAAATATTAAATTATAACATACAAAACATAAATTTGCAACAAAAGTTATATCGAAAATGGATGAAAACAAAGAAAGAACCCTGAATTTCCATCTATTGGAACTGGTGGAAATCCCAATCCGATTCCGTATTTTTTCACAAAAAATAATTTCTTATTATTTTTCTTTTGACAAATAACTGAAAATTCAAAACCAATATCAGTTGTTACTTAAGAACTGCTTAAGTAACCCATTTTCAGTGCTTAAGTATAACTTAAGTATGAACTGTAAAACACTCATTTCCTGTTTTATCTTAAGCACAACTTAAATATGGACTGCGAAACTGGGCATCAGTATTTTGTATTGAAGAAGTTTAATCACTACTCGATTTTAAAAAATGAATTTTTCTAATGTGCATATGTTTGTGAATATTTTTCTAAAATTTGTAGTTGTTCCGGCACATAGCTTCGGTAGTTTTGTAAAAAGTTTAGCTTGGTGTAATCGGCTTTAACAATTTAAACGCATTTTTCTCGAAACCATTTTTTCAAAATCGAATTTGAAACTTTCTCAGGACCTTCTTAGATATATTTATCAGTTAATAATCGAAAGAACAAATCCTTGATAATAATTTCGATTTTTAAAGCCAGCCTGAAACGTAGAATTCTCACAAACAAAAAAAAAACTACTTCATTTTTTGGTTTTCCAATCATAACTTGTAATAATAATTTGCTTTTGGACATCAGCTTCAAACAAAATTTTTTTTTTAATGAAGAACTGTTTATTAATAACAAGTCCWTTTCTCCCGAAGATGGTACTTTTTTGTTAGAACCGCCGATATTGAGCCARTATAGCGCACAGCTGCCATACAAACTGACCTATCAAAATCAATTTCTTGTATGTAAAAATTTTTTATTTAGGTATATACACATATTTTTAAAAATTAATTTTTAAATTTTCATCCGAGTTTTGGGATTAAAAATTTATTTTTAAATTTTCAATATGGTATTTTGGATTAAAAATTTTAAAATTATTTTCAATTCAGATTTTTGTGATTAGAGCTTTTTATTTAAATGTTAATTAAATGGTTTTTTTTTTATATAATATTTGCAACCCTGAATATATGTAATAATAATTATTATAATCATTAAGTAATTTGCTTCACTGAAAACAACAATTAATTCTCTCAGCATATTACGGTGGAAAACACAGTTGTTGCATGTATGTGTACACACACTAACACTTACACATGCTCATAAGTAGAAAACTTGGAGCTTTTTCGTGAATGCCAAGTTCGCGCACTGTCAAGAGCAAGGACGATCAATACCCCTGTGCAATTGATGTTTTACAACAAAGACTCGTGAAAGTCACACGTTTGTATATACAAGAACACAACGTTATAAACATAAATACTTACAAGAAACGTTCATACATTATATGTATGGTATACAGTACATCCTTGCCGGACTCGCTGTGTTGATGTTGTGTTGTCCTTGAAAGCAAAACTTGCGAAAGCTTTTGCTACCACCAAACCACTTGCACTCGAAAGCACATTTTGCTGAACATACATATATACATACAAACATATACAATAAATGTGCATACCGACTAATACTAACCTTAGGCTGCTTAGTGCATACTTTTGGTTTTAACCATAAAAGCTTAAAGAATTAACGGTTCATCAGCGAGTGAATGCACCGGACGCAATGTTTACATATGTTTATATATACAATTTGTCTTAAATCGCTCGACTGCTCAAGTATCCAAGTGCAAATTATCCGGCTTTGACATGATTTTACGCACTCACGAGATATTGATTATATAGTATGCCGTCGCAATCGAACACCGCCCACATACCTACATATGTGCACTGCAGTGCGGTGGTCCTAAGCTGTAGTACTTAGTGGCAGTGCTTTATTTGCCATTTGCGGAGACAGTTGGGTGCTTTGTTTCAAATATGTTCTTTGTTTTGTGTAAAAGTTTGTGTTGAAAAATATTCGAATTGTTCGCTTATCAAATGTATTTGCTTGTTATCCTTTGTATTGCGAAATATATCTGTCTGCGCATACAAGAATGGTTTCTGCCAAAGGTGAAGGAGTGATAATATTTAATAAAAAAAACTCACACGTTATGCCAAAAAAGTGCCCAGAAATTGTAAACAAAACGCAGAATATGGAATTATCCATCAATATTTGTTTTGTCGACTTCAAAGTAGTCCCCTCCAATCGTAATAAACTTATGCCAAAGAGTTTTTCAGTTCTCGAAACAATTTTCAGGAGCACTTCTTGAGATGGACTTCAGCTCCTTCAGCGAATTTTGTTTTATCACTTCGATCGACCGAAAACGGGTTCCACGAAGTGGTAATTTCAGTTTGGAGAACAAGAAAAAATCACACGGCACCAAATCTACTGAATACGGTGGTTGATCGATGGTGGTGCGTTTTTGGCTTTGAATTCGGTATCGTGGCTCGATACGATCGTGTAAAATCCATGAGTTGTTCTTCCACAATTCCGGCTGTTTTCGACGCATGTTCTCTCGCAAACTTATAATGCGCCAAACCACGAATATCAAAAAAACAATGAGCATCACCTTGATTTTTGAGCGGCTTCGGTGTAGTTTTTTTGAATCGGTTCGTTGCTCGTATTTCAAACCCATTATAAACCTATGTCCCATCGGCAGTTATAATGCTCTTCATGAATGTGAAGAGAATCTCTCTAACAATTGCTTGAAGATTTTCAAGCATCTTATTCTTCGCTTTAATATTTTCATCAATAGGCAAATTTTCCAACATTCGCTATKATTCCGCATACGCAATATGGTTAGAAATACAAAATTTGAGGTAAATTTTTTGCTCGATATTTTTATCCATTGTAAAAATCGCTTCTGTATATTCCTCACCATTTGGCCTCATCTACATACTGGATGCCAACTTTTTTCTTTGCCTCCTTCAGCCCACACCTTGTTTGAAACTTTTATGGACACAGTGTTTGCTTCCTATTCAAGAGACTTAATTAGCAGGCGTTTGTTGCCATCAGATTCTGTGCATTTGCGAGATGTTTTTAGTTTAGATTGAATTGATTGTTCTAAGCAAAGTTCATCTTGCCTCAATCGTAGGAGTTCTTATTGAACATTTTCCAATAGGTATTCATTTTGTAAGGCTAAAAATCCAGTCGAACTCAAGCTGTTGTATGTAAGAGGGCGAGGCTCGATTGTGATCGGCTTAAAGTGCTTTGTTGATTTATGAGATCTTTTATGATCATATTTAGTTTTGGATGTCACAACGGACCGGCTTTTAAAGTTGTCCAAGTGATATCCCTATAAAAATCAGACATTTAATCCAACTCAACCAAACCTAACTATGTAAAATTAATATTAGCCGCATTAAAAATTTGTTAGAGAGTACTTTGACAATACACAATTTAATTTTTGAATTGTCCAAAGAAAATCCCCGAAATCACTGTCGGGGCATCAGCCTAACCTACCGCCTATGCTTGATTAAAACTTTATGAGTTTCTGCATTAAGCAAGATGTTCGTGCTGCCGACGAATTAGCTCATCTTGAAACGACGAGGTTGATTGGTCGACGAGTTTAATTGATCGGATCGGACTTTATATGGAACTAAAGCAGAACAACGGTGGTTTTCACAACTTTACTATGAAGAATTGGAAATTATTTTCCATTTCCTTGTTAGCTATTAATCTTATCTAAATTCTCGAGAGTTCTATGTATAGTCTTTAACCATCTCCGGAGATGATTCATAACATTATTAAATGTTTATACTAAAATACTTTTTGTCGCACCACCAGATCAGATATAATCCAAAGCAACACGATCCGGAATCGGTACGCATCGATGGCGGTGGACGCTGTTATCCAAATTGTGCTTCAGATGTATGGCTGCGCTCGTGCGAACAGGAGATTATTGAGCCCATTGAAGGTCATACCAGCGGACATATACCCACATGGTTGAATGGTAGTTTGTTRCGCAATGGTCCCGGTAATTGGAAGRTGGGTGAAATGATGTTTCAACACTTATTCGATTGTTCAGCTTTGGTGCATCGGTTCGCAATCAAAAATGGTCGCGTTACATATCAAAATCGTTTTGTGGAAACTGAAACATTGAAGAAAAATCGTGCAGCACAACGTATAGTAGTAACGGAATTCGGTACGGCATCGGTACCGGATCCTTGTCATTCGATATTCGATAGGTGAGTTATTTTTTTGAGTAGTGAGTTCGAAGCCTGAAGCGATATACGGTGGTATAAGAATTATTTCTAATTCGATATTTTTCTATATATCTTAGAGTCTCCGCGATATTTCGACCTGACAGCGGTTCTGATAACTCAATGATATCTATTTATCCATTTGGGGATGAGTTCTACACCTTCGCGGAGACGCCGATGATGCACAGGTAAACCAAATACAACAAATTAATATCGAAAATATAAGTTCAGATTATTACGAATATGATAATTGCCAAAATAATTCACAGAATTAATCCACGCACCTTAGCCACGGAGGGACGCATTTGTGTAACCGATTTTGTGGGTATCGTAAATCACACGTCACATCCCCACGTACTGCCAAATGGAACCGTTTACAATCTCGGTACGGCCGCTACCAAATCAGGACCAGTCTATAATATTATTTGTTTTCCACATGGCGAGCAAATGTTTGAAGATGCCTACGTTGTGGGTTCAGTTTCTTGTCGTTGGAAACTACATCCCGGCTATATGCACACATTCGGTAAGCAAGTAAAGTGCATATATTAATTTGCCGCCGAAATATGAACTAATCACTTTCCTTGTTGCAGGCATCACCGAGCATTTCTTCGTAATTGTGGAGCAGCCACTCTCCGTTTCGTTGACGGAATTTGTTAAAGCCAGCTTATCCAATCAACAACTTGCCGCCTGTCTGAAATGGTTTGAGGACAAGCCTACTCTATTCCATCTGCTGGATCGCGAGACCGGTAAATTGCGTTATACTTTCCAATCAGAGGCATTCTTCTATCTACACATAATCAATCAGTATGAGGAGGACAATCATGTGGTGATTGACATTTGCTGCTATAAGGATCCCGAAATGATCAATTGCATGTATTTGGAGTCCATTATGAATATGCAATCGAATCCGAATTACGCCTCACATTTTCGTGGACGTCCATTGCGTTTTGTGCTGCCACTAGGTGTGGAGAATGCGGACGTAGTGACGTTCAAAGATCGTCCAACCAATCAGCGACGTGTGGTGAAATCGTTCACAATGTCTGGCATTAGTACGCACTTGCAGCCGACGAAAATGAAGCATTCCGAGTCGAATTATGAGAACATAACGAATATGGCGCTTAATAAATTGCAAGAAGAAGAGATGCTCGAGTATAATACTTTTGCTGGTGAAGCGAATGAGGCGAAAACGAATGTGGACAGTGAAACAATGGTTAATTTGGTCACTTTAGAATATAGCACGGCGCAAGCGCACCAGCTGAGCAATCGCAGCATAATGGTGCGCCCCGAACTGTTGTGCGATTGGGGTTGTGAGACACCGCGCATAAATTATGATAAGTTTTTAGGTAAATTAGCGATACATATAAACCTAACAGTTACTTATTGGCTGCTTTGTTCACTTTCAGCCAAAAAGTATCGTTACTTCTATGCGATTAGTTCGGACGTAGACGCTGAGAACCCCGGCACAGTGAGTAATATTTTCGAAGCGCGCATATTTTAGTGTTATTAAATTCGCAATCAATTTATTTACAGCTCGTCAAAGTTGATGTGCTAACAAAAGCAGTACAGAAATGGTGTGAACCGAACTGTTATCCCAGCGAACCAGTTTTTGTGCCTGCGCCAGATGCCAGTGCCGAAGACGATGGCGTGGTACTGGCCTCCATGGTTTGGGGCGGCTTAAATGATAATCGCGTTGGACTGCTGGTGTTGTGTGCCAAAACCTGGACTGAGCTGGGTCGTTGCGACTTTCATACGAATGGACCAGTGCCGAAATGTCTGCACGGCTGGTTTGCGCCCGGCGTTGTGTAACCAAAGATGTCACAATGAAAGCAATACTCACGGCTTAGTATTTTAGTAAAATTGCTAAAAATTTATTACACCGTTAGGCATTAATCTTATTGTTACCATAATACTGATTTGATAAATAYGACTTAATTAATAAACTCGTTACTTTTAGAATCTCAAGTTAATCACATTATAAATGAATTCTTCCCATTTCTTCTGGAAAACCCCATTTATTTTACGACGTTCYTCCGATGTTAAAATGGAGTATCTATAAAACATAGTATAACCGTTATTTCTACAYAAATAAGTTARATAGCAATTTGACATACTTTATTGAATTCAAAGCGAGTTGCTTSAGAAACCGCAAATCTGCTTCAGCTGGCGCCAGCGCCATGAAAGCATAATAGAAATCGTAACTCAATCCTTTGGAATTCCAAATGCCTGGATAATCAGCAGTTATGACAATCGGAAAGTTTTCGGCTATAAGAAATGTAGCGGGATGATTGCGTAAATCCCACACCAGACCCATTACTTGATTAGAAATCGGACTAACTTCGATGGCAATGTTACGTTTCTTGACGGTGGACCAAATATTTGGATGTTTCGGCAGTGCATAACCGTGACCGATGCGTTTTGTGTTGAGCAGCAAAGCGTCCATTAGATTCCAATCGGTTTTTCCAAACCAATCTGATCAAAAGATAATAATATGGCTTAAAAAAATCTTTCTTCATATATAATATATGCAGTTTATTGGTTTTGGAAAGCTTGATAATGCCTGTTAAGAATATAGTATAAGTCAAATTCTTGAGATGCTTCACCAAGCGGATTTCAAAGTAAAAAGCGTAAATGAATACCAATGTGGCTCTAACCAATTCTTCTCGGTGGAAGTGAAAACCCTTTGGAGCATACCCTGCTCAAGTCTGACCACGACGGAATCAGAATTTAGAGTGATTCATTGACATTCGTGTGAAGCTTTGTAGTGAAAAGAAAGGTTTAATAACTATTTATTCGAAAGAAGGTAAAGGTTCGGTCAAGTAAAATTGAAATTGTTTTATTTACCAAGAAGAATCCCTTCAGATGCTCACGTCTTTAACCTGTTGATAAGATAGGATACAGGATGTCTGTAGTGGTTTTGAGGTAGAAGTGGCTGCCGTATTGCTAAAAAGAGCAGCATCTTTCAGAGGGATAAGCATTCCCTCCTACAGCAGAGCGACAATACCAGCGCTGTCAAGGGGTGTTTGTTTTCACTAGAAATGGTATCAAGCTACTTCACCATCAGACTCTTTGGGTTCCGGATCAAAGAGGTTATGCTGGCAACTGCAAAGCCGATGAGTTAGAATGATGGGGCAACCTTCAGCCGCTCACATCGGAATGGGACCGAGTTGAATCTCGATTGATATTATGCGCTCTATCACAGAACCTCGCCCTCGCTTAGTAGTCACTGCTGAACGACCAACTCCTGTGTGATTGCGAGATTCTTTTGATCCAGAGTAAAACGCAAGAGATCTACTGAATCAATTGCCCTTAGTAAAGGAGATGAGGTGGAAACATCCAGGCACTTTCTGCTCCTTTTTCCAGCCTTTGTAAGACAGAGGCTGAAATATCTCAGCAGTCATAACTTCGGCGAACCAAAAACCTAGCCGAAACTGACATTCGCCTTGTCAACAAATTTGTGATAGGCTCAAAGCGATTTGCAAATTTGTAAGGGTTTTATGATTCATTATTGAGGGATTTTAGGTACCATAGTGGATCGGCGTACTAAATAGTCTAAGTTAGATACCTGTTGGAAACTACATCTTAACCTTACCTAACCTATGATTTTTTTAATGCTATTTTGTTTACCTAACCCAGTTCTAACTAGGAGTATTCCAGAGGTGTAAGGAGTCGTCAGTAACWAAAAAGATATGGAATTTTACGGATTTGAGAGTTTTAATATCATTTCAAAACTACGAAAGAAACTATATCGTTCGGTTTGCATCCATATAAAACCWGTCCGGGTCATATTTGATCATGCGTGTAGTATGCATTTATATACTCACTAGTTTCTCCAGCGTGAAAGAAAAAGTTGGCAGTTGGTGGCATGTCGCTCAACTCATTGACGAATTTATGCAGYGGATCACCGGTATCTTCTCGTCCAACCAAATCAAAGCCAATAATGAAATTCGGCTTGGCATCACTAGTTGAGCAGAAAAAAATGCATAAAATTAATTTTAGTTTTCTGTATAAATATGTGTGATAAATATTTACTAACTGCAATTGCTTAAAGGTTATCAAATGCTGTGCCATTTCATCCACTGTGCCTTGATTMGGTTTTGTATAAATCACCTTGAGTCCTACAAAGTCTGGATGGCGGGCTTTGAAACCCTCAACGATAGCTTCCAATTCGTTGGCTACTTCAAGGGCATTCATTGTGCGATTATTATCGCCATATAGCTATTAATTCAAAAGTAAAGAGAAAAATATAGAACAACATTTCAATTCAAATAAAAATCAAAGTAATTCGATTTCCCATCTGTTTGAACTTACCGACGTAAGTGGTGACCTCAGTTCAGCATAAAATATATTATCCTCGCATAGTTCTTCCAGCAAACGTTTGTGGTAATTACAGAAGGCTGGTTGATAACTGTAAAAATTTTCCACACTCTTGAAAATATTATAGAAGCGTTGCCATATCTTGCGTTTATCGGTGATCATGGCTGTAAAATTGATTTGTAAATATTTAGAAGATAGAATCTAGTCAATTTATGCCATATAGTTAGAGACTGGATGCAATTTTAATGTGACATTAGGTTAGACCTAAGTTCCATTCGCTATGCTCTCTTGTATTTTTGAAAAGAGATCAAAGCTCGAACATAGCGGACTAGCGAGCAGAGGAGTGACAAATAGAAGATGCTCCTTGAGAGAGACAAACAATTATCTTCGGTAATGAAGAAACTGTTAAATTGTCAAACTTTATAAGCGTCAAAAAGCAGCTGATAATGATAAAATTATAATTTGTCTCACTATAAAGATATATATATATATTTATAATAAACGACCCATATACTAATATTAACCTACATTCCGGATGTACAGTATACATATTGATATGTTTCTCCAGTTGCCGTTCGTAAAGTCGCCGATCCTCAGCATTAATGCGCTCTAAGCACACGTTTTGCACTTCGCTGTGACATTTGTTCTGCTCATAGGTGAACATCAGTAGGCCATTCACATCTCGGCAGGTATACAAATTATACAGCGTGGTCAAGTTGGTGATGATCCAGCGCGAACTGACCATACCCGTATTGTGACCATGCAGTAGCGCTCCCTTGGGCAGTTTTTGTATAATACGAAAGACCTCACTCTGTCGCAGATACTGTTTGCCTTGGAAGAAATGCATGGCAGGTGGAAATTTCTCGGGTGTTTTGACGCCTTCCGCCATCTGTTGGATGTAATTTATTATTTATCTTATTATTTAATATTATTTCGCACACTAACCTCGGCTCGTTTGGCATTCATTAATATGCTGTTTGCTTTATCCTCAGCCGATGTCAACCAAATATTACCGCCCACTGCGACCGAGCGTTCGGCGTCGACAATTTTGTTACGTAGCGTGTCATAAGCTTTGAAGTAAATTGGATTAAAGATTAATAAAGGGTATTGAAAGATCTGAAAATTTACATTATACATTTTATGTACAAATTCGTCATATTTACATATAGAAGAACATTTAGTTATTAYTCTCTCWATCTTCTTTTCCTCACCGGGTATCCAATGCAAGAATAAAATGCAACTGATGAGTTGAAAGGATCCGAATGGGGTTTCCGAAATTGATGTTGTAGGTGATACAAATTTAAAAACCCACAGAAGAATTAGCTGCAAAATTGGCGGCTATAGGTGAATTCTCCACAAGAACTTACGAGAATAACTCAATAACGAGAGGGTAAAYATACCACATACCCACCCGTTTCATTTAGAGAAGAGAAGAATTCAGGTGACACTAAAATAGGGTGGATGGCGCAGAGGTAAGGGACAGCAGAATTTGCAACATCTGTATGGACGGATCAGAAATTGCTAATGGAGGGGGGCCCAGGATCCATTGATCGGAACTGAATCTCAAGCAGCCCTTTAAGTTGCCGGAATCCTTAAGTATTCTTTGTGGTTAGGAAAGATAACAAATAACGCAAGAAACAACATAAAAATAATAAATATTCGAARTAGCCGATAGCCAGGCGGCATTTAAGGCAATAATCTGAAATCTCATTACGTCAGAGGATATCCTTAGAAGCGGAAAGGCAGAAGATATAGCGACTACCGGAAAGCGGCTACATATGAATATACTGGGTTCCAGACCCCAAAGGGAAACTAATTAGGTTGTGAGAAAGCCAGAAGTGTCATCCGTATGGCTACCGAACTAGTACAGGAAAAGCGAAAGTCACTAAAAAGAAGGTGAGCGGAATGCTTGAATAACATACAGAATCATGTGCATAACGGTTGTTGGACTCATTAGCCACTGGTCAAAACATACTGTCATCAAATGCGAAAGGGATTGGCATAAGAAACGACGATACATGCAGCAAGTGCTGAAAAGTAGGCATGAGAGAGACGCTTTTAAACCCTCTGAGCCTCTGTCTGCGATTTGATTGAAATTGAAAACAAGATAAAATAACAGCTTAATGAATAATATAAAATTTAGATCGTCTAAAACCACGAAAAACATTAATTTTGGCGAAGCCGGAGTTATAATACCCGCGCACAGATGCATTTTTTACAGCAGAAAAAGCTATAATAAGATATTCGTGTTGATTAAGATCCACCAGTTCGAATGGCTTATAGCTATAGCGATCTGATTTTCGATTGTAGCATTGCCTTGGGCAATAATTATGCCAAATTTAGTAAGATAATTTATAAAAAGTTCTCCATACAAAGACTTGAATTGACTTGGTTTTGATTGTTCCGTTTTTATGGCAACTATATCCCGTAGTAGTCGCATAAAGGCGGTTCTGACGTTTTAACAGCGTAACGGTGGTTCTCTTAATAACGGTGTACTTACAGATATTCGATTTTTTTTTTTCAAACCTCAAAAATATGTAGTTTGTTTTAGCAGTTCTCACAACAGTCTGGTCTATGTAACCGGATCACACCCGCACTGGCAAGTCGGCAGCAATCGTTATAATATATAATTATTTCAATTATTCAC